TATTATTGGTTTTATACTTGTGCTTGAGATGCAACTCAATAATTCTTCCTTCACCGACAGAATATTACACCCCTCGTCATTTGGTGATTGATTTTGTAAACCAGTCGCTTAGCCTGGTTATAGCGGCTGAAGACGTACTTATATTTCACCTCGGCGGCGGAATTGGCCATCTGCCGCTTTGCTATCTACCGTAGAACATTATACTTTTTCTATGTAATTACCCTCCGATATTAGCAAATTTAGTTGGTGATCGAATGCGTCCTTACTCAGCCCAATTTAGAAATTTGGTCTTGCATCTGATGCACTGCAGATACTAAAATGCATGGATCCGTTTAACTGACTAAATGGTTCCCCTTAGGCGTCTACAAGCGAAGGACCGTGCTCTTACCCCCGAGTAAATTTAGTATTAGAAATTTGAATGATATATTTCACTTTTCATGCTGAAAAACATTTTCCCTATATCCTGTCAGTTAAGTACATTCACTGATTGACATTTATCTAATTCTTAGTCTGTTGATATTAAATTTGTGAACTATAGTTTCAAAGGAGGGAGGATGAGTTGGACTTGAGGCAGGATAGGTAAAATGGAAAGTCAAACCATTGGTATGTCGTTCTACTTGCATTTCCACAGTAGGAACTATTTGTGGTACTCTTGTTTTTGTCACTTAAGGTGCGATGTTGATCACCGTTTCTCTCAGCCAGAAGTGCCTTATTTTATACGCATGTTTATAGCTATGAAAAGAAAATTTTTCATCGTTGGAATATCGGTCTTCTTTCACTTTCATGACTGGGTCATTTAGGCGCCTTTCTTTTCATAAGTTGATGGTGCCGTGCTGATCTCCGTTTCTGTGCCATCGGCCAGGAGATCCTTGTTATTAAAGGCAGAGTCTACAGAGTGATACTCATCAGCTTCCGCAAGAAGAAGGGCTGTGACCCCAACCGTCGCTTAAACTCGAGATCTATCAGTTCTGAGTTTGAATCGCTAACGAATGAGTAACCCTGTTTGAAGCAGTGTGTAGTAAATTCCTTGCTCAGCGGTACTCGTGAATAAGATAAGATTGCCCACTAGAGGAAATGAAACCGGCATTTCCGAAGTTCGAAGCAGACCTTTTAGACGCTGCCACCACGCTACACATGAGTAAAATGTAGCGCGTAGCCTCCTGCTTCCCTTCGCACAAAGTGGTTGTTTTTTATCTACCTCATTAGGGTGAAAGGTCAGTGACCCAACCAAGTTTCGAACTAACAATCCTTTGCCTGTAAGTCCGACAACGAATGAATAATTTCAATCAAAATGGCAGATATCAACTCTAAAGGCGCGAAACCAGATGTCCCAGTTTATATCGGTCACTGTTTAGGCAGATTTCTTGTTTTTACGTCACAGCAATGCCGAAAGATGATGTATTTACTACTGTTGCTTAATTTTTAGCTGGTGTGACATCATTATTGCGTAAAACTAATTTCCTGAATAGCTTTATCTTGGACATGTGGAAATGAAAACTGTCTGTCTGTGTTGACAGGGTCTTTATTTCTCAAATATATTTTTGCTCTGCTGGTAGTCCTATGAAGCAACGGCGGTGATATGAAAGGGGTTGACATTCTCAAGAATGAGGAACCTGACTATCCGAGTAACACATGAAGTCTTTTTGCCAGTTCCTGATTCTGTGTAAAGGTCATGAGTACAGATGGAGAGGGGAAGGTATCGTACATTCGCCGTTTTCGGAGTTATGGTTATTAAGCAAGATCTGCTCTCTTGAAGGAACGATCTGAGCGTATTTCCGCTTCAGTAGTACTTTTCTCAATGTTACGTACGTTTTTTACTTTCTCCTTTCTTATGCTCTTATAATTTGCTGTGGCTTTGCTCGACCATAACTTTTGTGCACTACAACCCTCGGTGCAGGCTAGCATGACGATGAAGCACACACATTGCCTGGGATCTCTCGATTTGACAATTTTCTGGTGGTTCAGCTGATCACATCCTAGTTGTTATTATATTATGAATCTCTACAGTTGATTTTTGGGACACCATTTCATTTTATTGTTTAAATAAATTATTCGGTACTTCAGTTTATCCAGTATTTCAGTCTTCACCAGTTCTTAAGCGCAGTGTTCAGTGCTCAGATTTAACTGATTTTTTATTTTTTAATATTGCTTACTGATACTGTTGTTTGTGGTTGTTGACAGTATAGCAAAAAAGATCAGCATGACGAAACCAAACCAAGTAAATCATTCTATTTAATTCCTTGAGAATGATCTGCATTGCGCCTTCCTTTCATATCCTTTTTATCTTTTTTCTCCTTTTTTATATGCATTTCCTTATTTTTCATGTATTCTGTTCGTAATCCTACACATGTATCTCTTGTTTTGCTTTTCCTTCCCGTTTTTTCCTTCCGCTACGTGATATTCTTCTTACTGTTCCACTTTCTTCCCTTTTTGTTCTCCCATCTTTTCTTGTCCGTCATCCCTTTACTGTTCTTTTTCACATATTCTTTTTCTTACGTTTCTTATTGTTTTTCGTACCATTCTTTTACCTCTTTTTATGGTTTTTCTCTAATAAATAATAGTGGCATGTTTGCAAGTGTTCGAACAGGAGTTTGTTCGTCCCTGCCTAGTGATGCGATTTTGCATGCATGCTTTTCAGGTGCTCAAATGTCATGGAGCTGTGACATGCTTAAATGGTCCCTTAGGCGACTAAAAGCAAAGGAACGGTGCCATTGCGCCGCTTCAGTCCGGTATCAAGAGGGATAATGTTACTTCCTTCTTTTTTGTTCCTTTTTATTTTTCTTAGTATATTTCTTCCCCTTCCTATTCTGCATTTTCGTCTTCTCTTTCTTGCTGCTTTTACCTTCTTTTCCTTCTGCATCTAATTCTTTAATCTTTCCTCTTCGGAAAATTTTCTTTTTTGTCCCCTCATCTTTTCATTTTTCATTTTGCTCTTCTAATTCCTGTTCTTTTTTTTTCTTTATTGTCTTTCTATTACTAATCTTCGTTTTCCTTTATTGATCGTGTTTTTCTTGTATTTTTTTCTTTATAGTCATTGTTGCTTTTTTCATCCTGTTTATCTTATTCTTCCTCTTTGTGTATTTTCTTCCATAAGGGTTCCTTGCATCAGTTACTTTGTGCTACTCTGTTCGATGTCTGATAAAGTTTTGGTCAGTTCCCTCAGTTTTACACCGTTCTTTATGACATCCCGCCGTTTTTCTTTCATCCTGTTCTTGTGTTTGAGATATTTTGCCTGTATTGTCGTTAGAAGCTCTTCTCCTATGGCCGAACCAACAGATACTGTTTTTGGTACTCTTTTCTTTTGCTAGAACTGCCTATAACGAGCCCAATATTGAGGTTTCCAGATCTGGTCCATCCACATGCACCTAGCATTCATTTCTTTATAAAATGCGGCTATTGTTTTTGTGTTTTTAATTCGGTCCAGCGTTCTGCTCCAAAAAGCAGTACAGGTCTTACTACTGTTTACAGATCATTTCCTATACTCTCATGTTACTTTTTTTTAATTAAATGGTCTTGGGAGATAGACAGTTACAGATTCTAGCTGTGACTATGAGTCGCAATGCTCTCCAAGTTGTAGGCATTGCCTTCGAAATATATGCACCACAGCTGGTGTCATCGCGATGGAGATCAGCGCCACATCATGTGTTCCAGTGGAAATCTGTTACAACAGATGGAATTGCACGGGAGACCAACATCCCAACGGCTACAAATTTACGCGCTTTGATGTAACTGATCCAACTCCGAATTGGGGCGTAAGCAGTAATCTGATCCATACACTGAATGATACGGAAATTAGCTGGGATGTTTGTCAAGTCACAAGTGGGTCGAATAACAAAGGAAAATAATTAGAACGGTCGTCATATGAAACTCCGCCCAGTCTTTGAACCCAGGTCATTTGCCTTTGTGTGTAAGCCTAGGCACGTTATTGGTTGTCATTAACGAGACGAGTCGGCGAACAAAAACAGTTCTTTGTTGCTTATCTGTTTACCTCAGCTAGTTCGTGGATCAAGAAGTTGACGATTTGTTGTCATTCTAACCGTTGTCCTCTATGGCAGGAATGAAATTTCGCCTTACTTTGGCAGTCTTGCCGATTTTTCTTTTATCATGGTCGTCATTGTTTTCTAGTGCATTCTGCAGCATGGGCAGCCTTCAGAAGTTTGATGAATCCTGCATCCAAGAACGGAAGGATAAAATTACACGATCTGTCGAGGATAAACGCAGCTATCGAGCGCTGCTGTTAAAGAATGCCTTGAAGGTGCTATTAATTAGTGATCCAACGACCGATAAGTCAGCGGCCGCGCTAGACGTCAACGTTGGTAAGTAAACTGTGCCTTCATCAGTTTTAAAAGAAGTTAAGAACGAAGTTTTCAGGGCATCTGATGGACCCACGTCAACTTCCTGGTTTAGCTCACTTCTGCGAACATATGTTGTTTCTTGGAACCAAAAAAGTAATCGCGTTCTGCAGTTTACCGCAAAGTCGGCTACTAAATGCTGACTGATATGATTGTTCGTTTTATTTTTTATAGTATCCGGTTGAAAATGACTATCAGAACTACCTGAATCAGAACGGAGGCTCATCCAATGCGTATACTTCGACGGACCACACGAATTATTTTTTCGATGTTGCTCCTGAAAGTCTTCCCGGAGCCATCGACAGGTTGGTAAACATACTGCTGTAGAGTATGGCTGATGTTGTTTTTATGTGATTGTAAAAGGCAACGTCGATTTTCATAAGAGTAGCGTTCTGCAATCCTTTAAGTTATGCGAATTTTGCGTAATTCAGATTTGACCACGTCCATGCGTTAATCATTTTCTACTGTTAGGGTATGCCGTAGTACATCAACAGGTTTTAAGCGATATTTCTGTTAGTTGAAACGAGAGGATGCAGGTACAAAATAGACTTCATTAGGTAATTGTTTATGCAAAGTGTTATAATGCAGTATAAATAGTATGAAAAATAAAAAATGTTCAGTTTCGCCGTTTGGCTTTTGTTATAAAACTATCAATTGATGACTAAACAGTAGCTCATTTTTTAACTTCATGAATCACTTAATAATCAACGCAGGTGCCATCTATTTTACGTTAGACTTTTAACAATGATAAGGCATTAAGATTCATCTTATCTAATCATGCCATTCCCGATGGAATCTCATGGAACACTATTGGCGTCTCTTTCTTCACAAAATTTTTCGAATCGCCTTCTGGTTTCAGATCTTTGGCTTCAGCAACTTTGGCTGTTTCTAATTCAGTAAATTCTTCACTTCGCACTTTATTTCCTTGTCATTCAATAAGTTCCTTCATATAACGTTTATCAACTTCAAGTATTAGTTGTTTAAGCCAAGCGGGATATTTCTTCACTGCATCATCTCTATCGCCGCTGTCAGCTTTTCGAGACACTTGAAGATTATGAATACCGGCTCGGTTCTTAAATCTAGCAAACCAACTATTATTTATCACAAGGGTTGGAGAAACTTCTGAATATTTTGATTTTAATTGATTCATAAACGTCTCTTTGCCTTCATCTGAATCTTCATTAAGCATAATGGAACGAGTTTTTAATTTAATTCTTCATCCAGGCAATTAACTTTTCCATGTCATAAACAGCGTGAGAACCATTTTTTGTTATTACTGTTGATGACTGTAAAAGTGCGTATTCTTTCCCCTGTCACGTTATACGTACAGCATTGTTCACAGTGGTATTGGTGCAAGACCAAGATCACATATTGTGGCCGTTAAATTTTGTCAAGCTTTGCATTAATATATAATTTTCATGTTTTAATTACTGGACCAACATTGGTGCGTTTACGCACACGTTCTGTTTGCCATTAATATTCCTTTTTTCAGTCATGATTATACTGTATTACATTGTTTGCTAATACAGAAGGATATTAAAATGTATGAATGCAAATGCCGACCAGTTTCGATGTCGGTAGTTAACCAAGTGAGACTAGGAACGGCGCCCGCATGAACTGCATGGGCTATTTCTTCTTTGAGTAATGCCGCTGTTATGCGACGTGTGAATACCATGGGCACATGAAGTTACATTTTATTAACTCGGCCTTTTTTCATTTCTCTCGCGGTATAATTTGCGTAAGTCTCGTTGTGTCTGTACTTCAGTTATGGCAGTACCAATCATTTAAGCTTTTTGTATATGCCAGTAACATATTTAGCTGATAATGATTTATTTTCGAATTAGATCCATTTTCTGATTCCACGAAGGGCAGTGCACGAAATACTAAATATAATATTTTTTAAATAAAAATGTGTCAATTTTGTCGAAATGGGCATCAGTCTTCATCAGGGAATTGAAAAACATCTACGCAACTGCCTTAGTTCATATGTTGTTTGACCTCATCGATTGGCCGAACATGTTGTTTTTAAAGAAATCTTATTTCAAAGATTCAAAATCTATGTCACAAACTTTGTTTAGGTTCGCACAGTTTTTTCGTAGTCCGCTGTTTACGGCCAGTGCAACGGAGAGGGAAGTGAACGCAGTTGACTCAGAGAATAGGAAGAATCTGCAGAGTGACGCATGGAGACTCACCCAGCTAGAACGGAGTTTCGCGCGTGCCGATCACGACTTCAGCAAGTTTGGAACGGGTAATCGAACGACGTTGTTAGATGAACCTCAGCAGCGGGGCATCAGCCCTCGTGACGAACTACTCAAGTTTCACCACAGTTACTACTCGTCTAACATGATGTCTTTATGCGTCCTTGGAAAGGAGTCGCTTGATGAACTGACTAAGATGGTCGTCCCGCTGTTCGTTGACGTCGAGGACAAGTCCTGCAAGGTGCCGACGTGGCCGGACCATCCTTACGGCACAGACCAACTCGGCTACCGTTTGGACGTTGAGCCCGTCAAGGACCTGCGTGACATGCACATCACGTTTCCGTTCCCTGATATGCATCCGTATTACAAGGCGAATCCCGGTCACTACATTAGCCATCTGCTGGGGCATGAAGGCGCCGGCAGTCTGTTGTCAGAGCTTAAGCGCCGCGGTTGGGTAAATTCACTTGTCGCCGGTCCGAAGACGGCTGCCCGAGGCTTCGGCTTTTTCTCGGTCGACGTCGAACTGACCGAAGATGGTCTAGAGAATGTCGAGAACATCGTCATGCTCCTATTTCAGTACATTAAAATGATGAAAAATATCGGACCCAAAGAGTGGATCCATCGAGAATGTGAAAAGATTAGCAACATGAGTTTTCGTTTCAAGGTTTGTCAAAATTTCAATTTTCTAAGTTTTTTGACTAAAATACATTTGATTGAAACTGACCTAAAAAGCAAACTTCTCTCTTGCTGACATGGTGTGTCTGATTCAGTCATTGTCTCATAATTCTTGTATTTGTCCAGATGAAGAAGGTCTGTCAGATCAGATCGAATCCTCACTATCGATTGTATTCTCTTTACCGTATTTTTAAATCGTTATTATTCTATGGTAGCTAACATGTGTGCTTAGAGTCTATAATAGACGAAAACAAAAGAATTGGATTTCATACATTTCCACATTAGCCTCATTTCCATAGCTTGTGTTGCATTTTTTTACTCCCAACATAGTTTATGACTGTTTTCATCTTAGGTTAATCGTAACTCACGGTTCCGTTGAGGTCAGGCATCAAATAAGCCATAGTGAAACTAACAAGTGAAACGTTTTCGTTCTCCCATCGTATTTAAAAAAAAAGGAATAGAAATCGCTCGGGGACCTGGTGACAGACATATTTACGAATGTATGGTTCTCAGGACAATTGCTAGAGCACTGAGCCTGTTCTGTGTTGATTCTCTGTCAGTGAAAGGCTTCTTAGCCGTAATTGTTAAAATAGATGAACTGTTTTGCTAGTCTCAAATGCTGTCATCTTGCTGTAAAAATTTAATGCAATGGACTGAAAGTTGAAGACGGATGCGCGATCGATGAGCTTATATTTGTTATCGGCATACATATGATTCATCCGATCACATTTTTACGATGGTTGTTTGACAAACCAGGAAATTCGATTTATTCTGTTATACTTTGATTATTGCAACAAAACTTTCTTACGAAATTTTATTTTCCTTATATACTACTATAAAAATATTGATCTCTCTAGAGTACTTGCCGAACTATATCTGGTGTCCAGTGCTGATACATATTTATATACATAAACGAATGTGCTAAATGACGAACAGTTCGGATATGTCTACTCTATACCCTGTAAATTTAACTAAGCCTACATCGAAGAAAGAAGAAGGGAACTCAGGCATAGAACTGCGAGATGGAGCAGCGCTGACTATTTAGGGAAATAGGCATTGCGCAACAAAGGTGAGGTAGAAGTCAGACTAAGGATTCGTGGTTATCAGAGAAGAATGTAAAAACAACTTGGTTGTTGTTCAGATTGTCATCAAGAATGATTAAATAGATTGGCAGCACACCAGCGCAATCGACACAGAAAAAAATTACAAATTTAGAAAGATCAGGGAAGTTCTGTTCATCTAGACCAACAGATGTATGAATAGGAGCAATGACATGAACCTCAGCAGTATCTGGACATGAGCTGTTAAACGCTGTCAACATAAATGCTGTATATATATACCGATACATACTAAAAATATTATTGTTAAGTTCTTGTTGCGATAATCGAATCCTGATTATACTTTTTTAGCAATTCTTTCCGAGTTTGTAACAGATTCTTCACAAGTTTTTCGCATGTCTGCCACTCAGATTGTTAAATTAGTACTTTCTTGGATGAATAATTTAAAAAACATCTTTATGGTTGTACTGGGTTTTACAGTATATAGCATGTACGTAGCAACTTTGAAAATATAATAAATGAAAACGAATATGTCTTCTGAATCCATGGCTAGGAGAATAGAAGCTTAATAAAACTGCTGATCATGGGTTCGTGTAGTTAACATTTGAACATTTGAAACAGAGGATACATCAGCTTACAATCCTCTGCCGTACGGTATTCGTATGAGCTTGACAAGTTACATATATAATATAGAAATATTTGAATTAACTTTTTATATACTAATAACTAGTTGCAAAATTTCTTCTGCCAACAAAACCTCTGGCAAACGAATCTGAACTAGATCGTATGGATGGAACTTAATTCACGTTTTAAAAGTTAAGTATCTTGCAGTTGAGCTTGTTTTAGGACAAGGAACGGCCAAGTTCATATGCGACGTATTTGGCCACTTGCATGCACTTATATCCGTTAGAAGAAGTGCTTGTCGGGCCATACATGATGGAGGA